GCCTGATCCAACATTGGCGTCTCTTATGTTCTTATGAAGGCCCATCAGGAGCCTGGCCGCAGCATTCTGCACTAGCTGCAGCTTCCGGATTTGTGACAAGGGCAGCCCCATGTAGAGAGCTGAAGAGAAGAGGAGCGGAGAGGAGAGGAGAGGAGAGGAGAGAAAAGAAGAGAAGAGAAGAGAAGAGAAGAGAAGAGAAGAGAAGAGAAGAGAAGAGAAGAGAAGAGAAGAGAAGAGAAGAGAAGAGAAGAGAAGAGAAGAGAAGAGAAGAGAAGAGAAGAGAAGAGAAGAGAAGAGAAGAGAAGAGAAGAGAAGAGAAGAGAAGAGAAGAGAAGAGAAGAGAAGAGAAGAGAAGAGAAGAGAAGAGAAGAGACTGGATTTATGCCCCATGGCCCTTCACTACACAAAGGAGTCTCAGAGCGGCTGACACACTCCTTTCCCTTCCCCCTCCCCACAACAGACAGACACCCTGTGAGGCAGGTGGGGCTGAGAAAGCTCTGGCACAAACAGCTCTTTTCCAAGAACAGCTCTTATCAGCCAGGTGCAAGTGGAGGAGGAGTGGGGAATCAAACCTGGTTCTCCCAGATCAGAGTCCGCGCACTTAACCACGACACCAAACTGGCTCACTAAAATTGTAGCCCTTTGTAAGAATTGGGAGGCTTCAAAAAAAGGGACAATGCTCTGAATGGCCAACAGACCGGGATAGTGGTAGAGACATTGCAGAACTCTTTTCGCAAAAGGTTGTGTCACAGAGGCAGTCCCCAATCCATGCAGACTACAGGCAGAACATGGTAGGGGTAGGGGTATGATGCAGGGAAGGTGGTCACTGGAGTATTGGCAAAGGTCTCTTACCATCAAAGTCCACTCGTCCATCCCCGTTGAGGTCAACATCATGCAGGATCTCATCCACCTCCTGGGCCAGGAGTTGTTCCCCTAATAGGGCAGCCATAGTCTGATGTAGTTCCGCCCCACTGATCATCCCATCTCCATCTGTATCAAACTTCAGAAAGAAGAGAGTGAGCGAGAGGGCCTGGCTCTCTGGTACTGCCTACAACTCACATTTCTTCCCTCATTGTATATTTATATTTATATTTATATTTATTATTATTATTATTATTATTATTTATTTATGCTTACTACCCCGCTCTAACCCCCTAAGGGGCATCTGAGCGGCTACAGTTACTCATTTATCCATAACCTATGGCCACAATTATTAGGGCACCCAGTGGAGGGGTTTTTCTCCCAGGTCGGCTACGTCGACTTTGGCGTCACTCGGCTTCTGGCTCCTTCTGGCGGTCTTTCAGTGGCAGATCGGTCGGGCCCTTCTGTCACGTGGCATGCTCTGGTGCGGCCTTGGCTCAGTCCTTGCGGCTCCGCCCCACCTGCACCATCCACGCTCGCGTGTCGTCCTGGCTCCGCCTCTCCGCCGACGTTTGTTCCGCCTCCGATGTACCCGGACACCATCTTCACCGCTCGCCGCTTTCCGCTTTCGCCGTCCACCGGGCTCCGACGCTCCAACAACTCCCACAGCGGGGGAGGGTGCCCCCTACCTTCTAAGTTAGGTTCCCATTTATCTACTTGCGCATTTTTGATGTTAGTTGGCGCTTTCGAACCACTGGGTTAGCGGGTTTCGAACAGCGGGTTTCGAACAGCTGTAACAGCTGTTCGTGGATGTTATTATTAGCAGCCGTTTAACTGCCTGCGCCACCGCCCCCCCTTTTCTTCCTCCCTCCCCCTCCCCACCACACTTCTTCTCTTGCTCACCCAAACTCTACTCCATCTCTGGTCCTCCTTCCTAGGCTACCAAGCCTATGATGCTGCTTTAACACCCTCCACGTGCATTAGCAGCAGCACGGGAGCTGCTTCCCTAGGCTCATGACACCCCTGATTAGAGGGCATGATGCCCGCACAGTATCAAAGAATGCACATCTTAGGTACGGCACTAGGAAACAAAGGCAGAAGCCTCTGTGAAGTGTTACTCAGTTTAGTTAGTCACCTGGTGCTCTTAATATGTTCTGCCCAGCATTTTAATTGAACTTTTAATATCTCTTATCTAAGGTATTATCTTTAGAGGTTTTGGATGACACATTAATGTTTTAGATGTGATGCGGCTGACATTGTTTAATGTCTTCTAATTGCTATTTTAACCACTGTTTATGCTGGCATTTTAGACTGTGTGTTCTTTTGTTTGAGTTCTTTTATTGCAGTCTCATATTATTGTCTTCCTTTTGCGTTTTATGTCTTCTAAACTACAGCAACTGACTTTAATCTGAGGGTGCAGTATATAAATACTTGAAATGTTAAAAATCACAAATCCCTTGATCCCTCCCATCCATTTTCACTGCACAATACCTCACGAAAGGCGATTTTCAGCTCCCGCACGCCCACCATGTGAGCTGTCTCCTCACGCATCTTTGGGCCCATCATCTCTACAAAGTCCTCAAAGTCCACACGCCCTCCCACTATGAGAAAAGAAAATGGGAAAGGGTCAGTTTCCCAAAGGATGGGAAGGGAGGCTAGCTGGAATCAGGAGCCCCTCAGGGAGAGGAGGGAATTGTGTTACAGTCCTCGGCAATGTGAGAGGATGGAATACAGAGGGCAGAAGAGGAAGGGGAAAGGTGGTTTTGTCTGTTTCCCACTCGTCCCTGTGCTCCCCAATGAGGCATGGTTGTTGTGTCCGTGGGAGTCCCACAACCTCCAGCATCAGCCTTTTGGACATCTCAGGGGCTGTTGCTGGGCAAGGGTGGTGGTGCACACACTCCCTAGTAACAATGGTCCTATAATGTTGTCATTCCCATACTTCATAATGAATCTACCCAGGTACAATGTGTGAAATGGCAAGCTGTACATCACACAGTACTTTAGTGTTCATTCACACACATTTACACAGGTACGCCCAAGGCTCAAATTCCATCCACCCTCTACTAGGAGATTTAACTTGAAGTGATCCCCCCGCCTGTTTCCTGTGCAGCAGTCTCTTCTCAATTCCTGCATATGTGGGACTCAATTTGGATCACAGGTGTGGTGCCCATAGAGAACAGGACTCAGCCTCCCCTCCCCTCCCCCCCACGCAGTCCTGGGGGTGCAATATCTGGCCACTGGCGACAGAGCGGTCTGGGTTCAACTGACTAAATGACCTTGGCAAGTCTGCTGTCCCTTAGCCTAGCCCTACGCACAGGGTCATTATGAGGACTAAGGGTTCCATAATCAAGTGTGCTGTCCTGAGCCCCCTGGAAGAAGGCCAGGCTAATAATAAAAATGGGAGAATGCTAACAATGCTGCCCTGAGCCCCCTGGAAGAAGGGCAGGGTAATAATAAAAATGGGAGAATGCTAACAATATTGTTAAAACGTATCCTTAATGAGAAAGTATGTACCTCAAAATAAGGAACATCTCTGATCAATAGTCAGTGTGGCACAGTGGTTAGAGTGCTGGGCTACTGTCTGGGAGACCTGGGTTTGAATCCCCACATGTGCCACGGAAGCTTGCTGGATGACCTCAGGCCAGTCACATGCTCCCAGCAGAACCTACCTCACAGGGTTATTGCTACAGGGGATAAAGCAAAGGTGAGGAGAACGATGTTGGCTGCTTTGGATCCCCACTGGGGGGGGGGAATGGGGTATAAATGAAGTAAATAAAAGAAGTGAAAAGGAATAGGACTGTGGCAGTCGGCACAGTTCTGAAATGGGAGAAGAATTAAGCTGGAAGCCCGTGGGCCGTGTGGGATTGTCTGGCACTTTCTGAGACTGGTTTCGGAGATGAGTGTTGGAGGAGAAGAAACATAACCCACAACAAACTCACTGCGCATTTTGATGTGTTGGGAGATCTCGATCAGTTCCATCTCGGTGGGCATGTAGCCCATGTTCCGCATGCACTCCCCCAGGTCCTTGTAGCCGATGTAGCCGTCCTCGTCCGTGTCAAACTCCTTGAAGGCCTGCAGCAGTTCTGCCAGGAGAGGCCCAAAGTCATTTTGCAGAAGTGGGGGACCTGTTGCCTTAAACACCTTCCTGGCACTGGGTACTCCGGGAGGGCACGTAACAGCAAAGAACAACAGTGCCGCCAGGGACTACGCTAGAGCTTGCTTTTTATTATTTATTATTTTCAATTTATATTCCGCCTTGCCAGGGAACTGACTGCTGGACATCCAAGATTGATCTTCGCACTAACAAGGACAGGCAACCTTTTTTTTGGGTAAGACTTAGTACATAGTTATCGTGTTCATTATAAAAATTCTCAACATTCAGTTGCAATGTAGGATAATCAGGGATAATAACAGTTGGCCACTGTGTGAAACAGGATGCTGGACTAGTTGGACCATTGTTTTGATGCAGCAGGGCTGCTCTTATGTTTTGGTTGGCCATTTAAGCCATTACTGGCCTGTCTTCCAACCCTTAATTATGTTAATAATTAACTATAAACAGTGTGAGTCGTTTCTGATGATTGTCCTGTGTGGTTTCCATAAGCTGCTTGACTTTAATCATTTTGCCCCACCGATGCAGTGTCTGCATAGACAGCTGGTGTTTGGCAACAATAAAAAGCAGCAACTCTGAATGAAAACATCCACCTTGTCAGCACCGTCTCACCTGCTGTCCTGAAACAGTGCCACATACTTTTGTTGGCCACCAGTGCCCTGGCAGCAATGGCGAAAGAACAACCAACCTGGATCAGGATGGCAGCACTCACACAGGACAGCGAGCAAAAGTGCAAGATTTAGGGTTGCCAACTCCAAGGTGGGGAATTTCTGGAGATTTGTGGAGGGACCTCAGTGGGGTATCATGTCATAGAACCCGAACCCTCCCGATCTGTAGCCTGCAGATCAGCTGGAGATCAACTCTGGCTCACACATCTTCGTCTTGGCTCAGGGAGGAGGGGGCTCCAGAGAGCAAACTAATTTACACAGGAGCCAAATCGCTCACTCACAACTTTAATGCCGGTAGCTCACAAAGTAGAATTCTTCCTCACAAGACTCCACAGCTTAGAGGGAGCATTGATGCTGGCAGCGGTCATTTTGTAGAAAAAGAGCTGCAGGAGCTCATTAGCATACCTAATAAGCTATTAGCATAATAGCTCATTAGCATATGCCACACCCCCTGGAAGGGGGGAGGTATCTTCAAAAGCCTCCCCTCCCCTTCCCCAGCCAGCCTGCCAAGGCGAGCGGGCGGGGGGGGGGAAGCAAAGAGAGAAGGGGCTTAAAGTTTGACCCCCTTCTCTCTAGAGTCAGGTCGCAGCAGCAGCACAATCTCTCCATTCTATTTTATGGGGCCATGGAATACAGTGGAGAGATTGCGCCGCTGCTGCAGCATGACTCTGGAGAGAAGGGGCTTGGGGGTGTGGGCGGGGAGCTGGGGGCGGGGCTTGCCGCCACCGCCATTTGTGCCCGCTCCTGGGCTCCTGGAGCGATTATCTGGCGCACTCCGGGCCCAAACGACCCCTAATGGCTGGAAACAGGAAGAGTGGATGTACAACATGGAGCCTTTAAATGCCAGCAGAACCTCAGATCTTGGTAGTAAATCAGAGATAAAACCAGCATATGTAAGCAAACCAACCTTTATATTTACAAAAGTCTTGTTATTAATGTGAAATTTTATCCAGAACTAGGGTTGCCAACCTCCAGGTGGTGGCTGGAGATATCCAGACGACAGAGATCAGTTCACCTGGAGAAAATGGCTGCTTTGGAAGGTGGACCCTGTGGCATTATATCCCATTGAATTCCCTCCCCAAACCCCACCCTTCTCCGCCTCCACCCCCCCCAAACCTCCAGGTATTTTCCAATCTGAGCTGGCAACCCTAACCCTAAACAGAGATTTGACTTTGATTCATACATTTTGCTGGTGCCTTCAGCTCTAGAGCCAGTTTGGTGTGGTGGTTAAGTGTGCCGACTCTAATCTGGGAGAACCGGGTTTGACTCCCCACTCCTCCACTCGCAGCTGCTGATGTGACCTTGGGTCAGTCACAAGCTCTGGCACAGCTGTCCTTGAAAAAGAGCAGTTTCTGTCAAGAGCTCTCTCGGCCCCACCCACCTCACAGGGTGTCTGTTGTGGGGAGGGGAAGGGGAAGGAGTTTGTAAGCTGCTCTGAGACTCCAAGTGAAGGGCGGGATATAAATCCAATCTCTTCTTCTCTTCTTCTTCTACAATAAACCCTTCCAAATGGATAGTAGAAACCCACCTGAGGGCTATTTGAAACACGGATGGGGCTGGCAAAATGCCTTTTTGCTGCTTTACAGTGAGAAACTAAGTACACTTCCCCCCTCCCACCCACATTCCCCGCCAACTCACCATCTAGCTCCTCTGCAGAAAGATCTCTCTCCTGGAGACAGAAAAGGAGAACAGGAGGTTAGACCAAGAGGGCATGGGATCCCTGCATAGGGCTTCTCTTTACTACATCCGAAGCTACTAAAGTGGCAGAGTTAAAGGAGTAAAGCATTAGAGGCGAAAACTGCTATATGGCATTAATTTTTTTTGTTTCTGTTTCTAATTTTCCTTATCCATATAGCACAAGGGATGAATTAGGCGATACGATCTTCACAACAGATAAAAGTTTCAGTGTCCACATATATCCTGAGCTACCTCAGACCAGACACTGGTATCTACAGTTTTCTTCTGAGTCATGTGGCTCCAACAGGAGGGCAGGGGGCGGGCTCCATAACATGTTAGAATTACCAGATACTTTTTATTTTTAAGATATTGCTTGTTTTTTTAAAAAAAAACCTGATTTTTTTTCAAAATGTACACAGCATTGAAAAACAGGTTGCTTACATGTAACTGATGATCTCCGAGTGGTCATCTGTGCATTCACACCCATGGGATACAGTGCGCACGCGCTGGATCAATTGGCATTGTAGCAAGCTCTTAACGGATTTTTGCGCCCAGACCTCGGGCATGGGCAGGAACCCCACCACGCATGCCCAGAGGGGTGGGCGCGGACATCCCGCCAGTTCCTTCGAACCGCCATGAATCAACCCAGATGGAAAATGTAGAAGCTGACAGCAGCAGGGAAGGAGGGTGGGTGGTGTGAATGAGTTCTCTCAGCCACACCCACCTCACAGTTAATATCGACAGGCTCAGCAAGCAGACGGGGAGGATGACGTAGAGTATTCCTGGAGATCTGCCGATGCCGTCCTGCATCGACATCGGCATGGGCCTCTGAGACCGTCAATGTCGATGATGGAGAGCGATCTGGGCCCCGGGGGCGACTAATGAGCTCAGCATTCTCGATATCGGAGAAAGGACGCATCTCTACCAACGTGTCCTGATCGAGTTGGTGTACAGGAGAGTCCATGAGCTGGATGGTCGGTACCGGTGGAGCGGCATGGGCCTCTGATACTGATACTACCGTTGGAGCGGGGGGCACGTTAGGGGCATTACCCGGTGCAGACGCCGCTACCTTTCCCGTCTTTGCTGCCTTTAGGGATTCAGAGGAGCCCTTTCTGGCGGACTTGTGCTCCTTGCTGGGCTTCAGCTTCTTCTCCGTTGGAGTGGACGTGGAAGACTCCGCCCTCGATGCCGGAGGCTTCGACGTCGATTGGCCGATGTCGGTGGAGGGCTTCGATGTCGGAGCCCTCGATGTCGATGGTCTTTCTGAATCCATTGCTGAGGGAGGATGTAACGCCGACTCCAACAGCGCTACTCTGAGGCATGCCGCACTTTTTTTCTGGTTTGGTTAGAAAACCTGGCACAATGGCGACACCATTTTTTTTTGTTTTTTTTTGAAGAACAAATGAACAAAGACTAGGAAAAAGAAAGAAAGCTGAGGAAAAAATCCGAAGAGCCTGTGAGTCAAAAATAGTACTGATCAGACCGTTGAACAGAAGGGGCTTCCAGCGCGTCGGTAAGAAAGGAACTGGCAGGATGTCCGCGCCCACCCCTCTGGGCATGCGTGGTGGGGTTCCTGCACATGCCCGAGGTCTGGGCGTGAAAATCCATTAAGAGCTTGCTACAATGCCGATCGATCCAGCGCATGCGCACTGTATCCCATGGGTGTGAAGCACAGAGACCACGTCGAAGATCTGTGCATTCTCCTTTTTGAGCACTACAAAAGATACCAGGATATCCAAACATCCTCAAAGTGTTTGTTATCATTTTATTGTCTTGTATATAATACATCTGCTTGATCATACGTATAATGCTGCATTATTTCCTGAACTAGCTTATCCATAAATTGGTTTTCCCCAGGGCTATTTTTGGGCAGGAATGCACAGGAACAGAGTTCTGGCTGGCTTCAGAGTTGGCCACGCCTACTACAGCCAAAACCTCTGCGTGTGCCTGGCTACAGAGGGAAAGCCTGGAGAACGACACACACCCCCCGGCTACTCTGAGGTGGGTGGGCCAGGTGGGCTCTGGAAGGATCGGGGAGGCATATAAATGTCCTGTCCTGCTCAGTGCAAGATTCGGACTTTGTGCCCGTGGCTGGGATCAAAGGACTTGTGAACTGAAATAGCAAGGGATGGGTGGGGGGAGGGAGAGGGTTTATAAAGCGATATGTAATGTACGGGACAAAAGTTAATATGTAATATACACAAAACTTTACATTAAAAAAAAGTCCTGTCCTGTCCAAGGGCCGGCTTGCTCAGGCTCCCTGCAGCCGCGGGGTGTCTGGGCAAGCCAAGGGAAGGCATGGGGGTGTGGCCTAATAGGCTAATGAGTGGTGCTGTCAGGGTGTGGCCTAATATGCTAATGAGTTTCTGCTGTTGGTTGTGGCCTATTATGCTAATGAGTTGCTGCTGGGCTTTTTCTACAAAAAAAAGCCCTGGTTTTCCCTTTTTCAGTTAATAAGTAGCATTCCAAATCTTTTAGGCACAATCCCTGCAGGCAATCATATGCATGTCTTCATACGAAGCTGCCTTATACTGAATCAGACCGTTATTCCATCAAGGTCATCGCTACCTACTCAGACTGGCAGCAACCCTCCTAGCTCTAAGGCAGAAGAAGGTCTTTCCCATCACCTGCTGCCTAGTTCTTTCTACCTAGAGATGCCAGGGATTGAAACTGCGACCGTCTGTGTGCCAAACAAGTGTTCTACCAGTGCCACTGCCCCCCCCCCCAATGTCTTCACTGGATACCTAAATAAGCGTACATAGGATTGAAAGATTAACACACAAAAACGCACTCAAAGATTTCTTATATATTCCAACCTATTACTTTTTAATTTAATTTCACAACCCCACCAGATATACAGAGAATATATGTAATTAGACAGCCAACAACACATATTTAGGCTTTTATACATTTACTGTAGTTGAAAAATTTTCTCTCCATTTCAACATATATAAAAATCTTTCACCCCTTTTTCCAATTCTGCAGTAATCTTCATCAGTTAAGTACATGATTTCAATCCTTTCCCCACATAACTTCTAATTTTCACCATCTTACATGTCAAATAAGATTTTATAAATTTTAGATAATACATGTCATTTAAGATTTGTTAAAATATAATTAATATTCAAAATTTGCTATTATGCAGAATCACAACCATGTTTCCTATTTCCTTATTAACAAATGAAAAATCATACCACCATTTACAATTAAGTTGTCTAGGAAAATTATACTGTGGACTCTGTGGACTCTTAAGATTTTTTAAAATACAGAAGAAGATTTTTTAAAATCACAACACAGAAAATTTGCCTTTTCAATGTCCCTGGTTTTTCCCCATAACTCTGTGATCACCAGAAGATGGGAAAACATGAGCAGATCTAGCTACCCAAAATCAGAAGATAACGCCCCATCTTTTCCAGGGCCAGAAAATTCCCCAGCCAGAGGCCGGATCATAACTGTCAACAGAAGCCCTAGCTAAAAACTGGTATGCACAGCTATTTTGGGGCAAGAACGCACAGAAACGGAGTTCCGGCTGGCTTCCGAACCCGCCCCTCCCCTCCCCGCCCTTGCCAAAAGCCCTGCTGTTGCGGTATTTGTGCGCATAGAGTTTGCATCAAAAATGCTTCTCTTGCAATTCCGAATTCTGCCACTAGATGCCTCTGCTGTGCTTCCCCACTAACCGGTCACTGCAATGCCTTGCTTCTCAGCGCTCGCTGACTGAGACCACTGATTTGGGAAAAGACTGAGCTTGGGGTCCCATTTAACTGTGGGACGTTTGCCGCATACAGTCCTTTTCCCTCATTTTGAGTCTTGGTTTCAGTGTACTAAGCAGGTAGAAGAAGCAGGGGTGTGGCCTAATATGCTAATGAGTTTCTGCTGTTGGGTGTGGCCTATTATGCTAATGAGTTCCTGCTGGGCTTTTTCTACAAAAGAAAAAGCCCTGCTGGTATGTATATATGTATGCACTGCTCTTTTGTCAGTGGTTTTTGGCGCTTCTTGGCAGTGTCCTAAAATGAATAGCAGAGATAAGAAAAATGGAAGAAGAAAAAACCCCATACTTGTCCAAACTAAATAGGCTTTGACCAGTGTTCCCTCTAAGCTGAGTTAGCATGAGCTAGCTCACAGTTTTTTAGCCTCTGGCTTACACAGTCTTTGTCTTAGCCCAGGAAGGACGGCTCCAGAGCAAACTAATTTATGCAGTAGCCAAATCACCTGCTCACAACTTTAATGCCAGTAGCTCACAAAGTAGAATTTTTGCTCACAGGGCTCCATAGCTTAGAGGGAGCATTGGCTTTGACCTATTTAAGGATGCAGAAGATGTAAAACGCTGATGGTTTCCGTTCTCCCCACTCTTGAGCCTACCTTTCCCTACAGGCCAATTGCTATTAGGGAGATTTGCCCCAGGCCACATACTTGACAGAAGCCGATTTAATGCAAGGAAGCTTTCATCATGAACTGAGTGTTCTGGGATGACCAAGAATAAGGGGGATAAGATTTTTTTATATGTGTTCTCATTGCAGTGAGAAATCGCTTCCCAGATTAACTTGATGAAGTGTAGACTGGAGGTCAACCCAGCTCTGCGGGTCCTTTCTCTGCCACTCTGGCATGAATAGAAGCAGGACGCTCACTGGCTTTAACTTGAACCTGAAGGATTTGTGAGCCGCCTGACTACAGTGCCCTCCGTTGGGAGCCCCAGCACCCACTCCCAAGGAGTGAAAGCCCTAAAAAAAAACCCTTGGAGCTCAGGCTATGTGTTCACCAGCCCTTCACACACACCCCAATATACCTGCCACTGCTCCCACTAATGGGATTTCCTGACCTCCCAGCCGGACATGAGACCCGGGCTATTTATATGAGTTAATCATACAGGTGTCAGGACGCTGGAGGAGACTGATGGGTAATCTCCACAGGCCCAGTGCCATCTCTCTCTGCTACTTAGAGTTCAAGTGAATCCAAAGGCACCCCCCACTCCACGAATGCACTACTTACTGCATATGTAGGAGAAAACTGGTACCAGTTCTGCTTATAATGCTGGAAAACAAGCATATATACAACTATTCATCCCCCTGCTTTGCTGTGATTTTTTTCTAATCCAGTTTTGATATTTTCAGAAAGATTGTGGCCAAAGTGCTTTTTGGATATCATGTGGATAGGAAGGTGCACATTTCCCCCAGTCCTTTCTTCACTGTCGCCACTTCTAACATCTCAGGGCTTGCATGACCATCCTCCTCCCACTGTGTTTTCCCCCAGCCTGTTTGGGGGTGGGGGTGGTCATATCACTGTAAAGTTACAATGTTATACCAATCTATTGCAACAATGTACTAGTTCCCAGCTTTAATTTTTTAAGATGTATAATAGTTGAAGAATTATAATGGGAATGGTACTGGCTGCTCTTTTCTCATAACTTAGATACCAAAACAGCTATAGACTTACTGTTTTAAAAATTAAAGCTGGGAGCTAGTACATTACTGCAATACACCATTATAACACTACAGAAATATGACTATTACTAAAAAAAAATTAATCCTGAAAAAGCCCTGGGTGGGGGGAGGTAGCAACGGAAGGCCGATGCAAGGAGAGTGCAGGAGAAGCCGCCACATGAATGCTCTGTTCTCACTGCTAATGTCTTTGCATTTGCAGCAGCAGTGAGAGTTACACAGAGAATCACCTCTGTGTGGAAGTGGCCCAAGTCAAGAAAGGAGTTACTGAAACAGACGCAGCTGTTAGAAAGCACTCTTGGCCATTGTGCCGACCTGCTTTTCAAACAGCAAGATTGGGTCCATGAGTACTCCCAAGTAACTATTCAAATCATGTGTCAACCCCTCTGAAGTTATTATCCACCTCACTTTGATCTGCTTCCTAGATGTTCATCCATGTCTTGCCCTCGTGATACACGTCTGGCCTATGGAGCAGATTAAGTGAAAATTACATACTTAAAAAGCTCTTCCATTAATACTTCACTGGTTCTCCAAGACTCCGTGTACTTGGTTTAAATCAGTTTTCTTTGCAGGGTCAAGCAGAGGCAGAAGCCACAACCTGTGCAATTTAAGCTTAATGCTGGTGCAAACAGTGTCGCAGACCCACCTCCCCTTTCCCCTCCAGAGCATTCTTGTAATTTTAAGTATAAGGCAGTGAACAAATGGCTAAATAACTAAAGGTGCACCTTGATACTTTAAGAAGTAAAAAAGGAACCTGAAATGGGGAGGGCAAGACTGGTGACTGGAAGGGGAACTAGCTTGTGACTTTTCTCCAGTGGGGGTAAACACACCTTGGGAGGGTGACAATTTTGAGTGAAACAGCACCACAGGAAGACAGCGTTTAATAGCCCCCTCACTATACACTAGCCCCCCACTTTAAATTACAGCTCCAGTTACTGCAAAAGAAACAAAACAAAAAAACTCCAGGGAATTTCAGGGTTTTCCATGTATCATGTATTTCCACAGCAAATTTCCCAGTTTTAAATTCCCTAAGCAGGCCTCTCCCTACCATACTGTGTTTCAGAAAGACCCACCGACCTTCTCCTACCTCGAACAACCAGTTAATGTCATCATTCCGCTCAAGATTCCCCACTCTAAGGGATGATTACAAATGTCTCACCCCTACTGATTTACCCCCCAAGCCCTGGTTTTGGGTCCTGTTCTCCCTTGGCCAAATCAAACCCACAATTCCTTATTTTCATACCATTTCTGTACATCAGATTGTAAGGAAATTGCTGGTAGAAGTGCCTTTGCATTGGCAGAAAACAAGTGTAGGTCATTGCAGCCGTATACATGTGTTGTACATAAAATGAGCTCCGGAAGAGATCAGGGCCCTGCGAGACCTTTTACAGTTCCGCAGGGCCTGTAAAACAGAGCTCTTCTGTCAGGCTTTTTGGTAAGGAGCCACACTTTACTATCCAAGGCCCTGTGCCAATATCATCATCCAGCCTGAGCATGCCAGCAGGGACTGTGTGTTTATTATGTAAGGTAAAGGGAAAGGTTCCCTTGGTCGAAAGCCTGTCAAATCCGACTCTAGGGTTGCGGTGCTCATCTCCGTTTCAAAGCCGAAGAGCCAGCGCTGTCCGAAGACGTTTCCGTGGTCGTGTGGCCGGCATGACTACACACCGAGGCGCACGGAACGCTGTTACCTTCCCACCGAAGTGGTCCCTATTTATCTACTTGCAATTTCTTGCTTTCGAACTGCTAGGTTGGCAGGAGCTGGAACTAGAGACGGGCGCTCACTCCGTCATGTGGCACACTCGGGTCTCGAACTGCTGAACTACTGACCTTCCACAGCCTGCAGTTGAGCGTCTTAACCACTTGAGCCACCGCAGCTCCTTTTTATGTACTCTGCTACTATTGTGCCGCCATCGCCATACAAACTGTTTTTAGTAACTAGGTTGTGTTTTATACTGACATTGATATTGTTTTATTTGTTGCAATTTTTATGTAAGCCGCCCTGAGCCTGCCTTGGCGGGGAGGGTGGGGTGCAAATCAAAATCAAAATCAATCCAATCAGATAGGTATGCATGTCACTTACATTGCAAAGGTGGGAGAAAACAGAGTTCAGCCCCAGGAAGAAGCCTGCTGCAAGCCCTCCTTTCATGTTACCGTTGGACACTGTCTGAGGGTGGGGATGACACTCCCCATCCACTCCCCCTCCCCACATTAAACTTTACATACCGTCTTGCTGGTGCTCCATACTGGTCCCATCTGGCCCACGTTCAGCACCATCGTTCCTTGGCATGCTGGCTTCTCCTCCTCCTCCCCTCTCCTGCCCTCTGAGTTCTGCCACGCAGCCCCCCTGCTCCTCCCCTAGACTCACCTTGCCAAAAACGGTGTTGAGGAATGGCGAGTAGGTCTTGATAGCGGCGGCATGGGGGCCAGCTTGAGGCTTCTTGCTGTGCCTGCGCGCGGACAGGGAGCTCTGCCGTGATTCAGAGCCGAGGGCTTTGCTGCCCTTCGGCTCTCCTTCTTCCTTGGTGGTGGGCGGCTGCTCCCCCTCCTCCGCCTTGCCCTTGGCTGGGCCCTCCGCCTTCCCAGGCTGCTTGCGTGGCATGGGACAGACGGGTGTCTCTCTGAGATGGGCACTGTTTGAAGACTCAAGCGTGTGGGGACTTAAGAACAAATCAAGAAATCCTCTTACGCTCCACCCTCAGGGATGGGGAGGGGGAGCCAATTACTAGGGATTATTGTGGAGATACTGGTACTGAATCCAGCACCTTAGAACTGCTTTCAAATCTCCTCCTCCTCTAGTTCTCACATGGGACAAGCTGTAATCCATGCATTTTACAGGCACATTCTGCAGCTGTCAAGGCGCAGACCTAAGAAGGAAGTCTGTCCAAAGGGTGCAAGTCGTACAGCCTAACACGGACGACGATATTGGTCGTACACCACTGAAATGCCAGCAGGAGGTGGTTTCTTATCATTTTCAGAGTCGTTTCCTTTTCCCACATCCCACTTCTTTAAAATGTCCAATCATCACACTGTTCGCAGTCAGACCCCTCTGCAGAGGAGCAGTTTGTAGCTTAGAGAGGCAGAAGCACCCTTCTTAAAATATTATCTCCGAAAGATTTGGTGCAAGGCACCGCATGGGCTAAAATGGAACAAAATGGATGCCAGCCAGGTAAGAGCCTGGGGAAAGTATGTTGGAAGATGAGTCAGAGTGGCTGACTGGCCAATGCTCCCCCTCCATGCCCTGGAGAGAGATATAACTGCAGGACAATGGGTCTCTCTAACCTATTGACTCACCCTTGGAATAATCTCGTCAAGTCCAACCTTACTTCCTCTGCACCCACTTACCCTAATTAAGCGACACTTAACTCTCTGTTCTATTCACCAAACCCACTGGCTTCCCATCTGGTATTTGCAGGGTCATCAAGCCTCTCCCAAATCATTGTCCCCCTCAGACAAGCCCATCAAATTATTGTTTTTCGGGTGAATACATCAGCCTGCCCCAGGGAGCATTTTGCCGTTTGTCAAGGGCACCTAGTCAACAGTGCAGTGTGTGTGTTCTTGGATCCATACTCACACCCCAATCTGTTGGGTCTTCTCTTTCTCTCCACAAAATGCTGGTGGTTTTGCTGCTGCCTCCAGGAACCTCTCTGCACTGAGACTGGTAATTATAGCCCCCCCCCCGAAATTGCTGTTCTCCTTTCCACCCTGCCTTTCCTTAGATAGCTCTGTGTGTTTATTGTGTGTAGCTTGATTTTTATTCTTTCTTTTAATAAAAACCTTTCTGGTTGAACATCTGCCTGGTTTATTTCAAGAGTTCTCTTAAGGGAAAAATCGCCGTAAACATAGGTGGAGAATCCTAGTTACCCCCTATCGCTCTGTCTCCTTTAAGCTAATTCCCCCAACTAATTAGGAGACTGCCTCATTGGGTAACACCTGAACTCACATGAAACTGCCTTCCACTGAATCAGAGAACTGATCCCTCAAGTTCTCTTAAGGGAAAAATCGCCGTAAACATAGGTGGAGAATCCTAGTTACCCCCTATCGCTCTGTCTCCTTTAAGCTAATTCCCCCAACTAATTAGGAGACTGCCTCATTGGGTAACACCTGAACTCACATGAAACTGCCTTCCACTGAATCAGAGAACTGATCCCTCAGAGTCAGCACTGTCTACTCTGACTGGCAGTGGGTCTCTGTCAGCTAGCTTCCATTGTATCTGGTGTTACCTGTTTAACGCGTCTTGGGCTCTCCCCCCCCCAGTTCCTGTAGCTTCATTATGCTTCTTTGTACTTTGCGGAACTGGCCAAGGTCATGCAGCTGGTGGTGGGAGTCGGTGCTTCGCTCAGCTTGTTATGGGTATCTACCCTGTGAACTGAACCTGTGTTGATTGTACTGAACTGTTACGTTCCCATGAAATGGGCGCGCGTTTCCAAGTTCTATTCCCGCCAGCGGGAACTGGGCTCATTGGCCCTAACCTGGTTCAAATCCCTTTATTATGCTATACCAGTGTATTGGGAGTCATTCCTAACAATGTCCTTGTTCCTGCTTGAACCATCGCTTTGAAATAAACCTTGCTTTGAATCAAACGTGGAGTTATTTCGAATGCCTGGGGATCCAACATTT